CAGTTTTTCTCTTGAATCTTCTAGTTCTGCCTAAGCCAAGGTGTAAACCTGTATCTGTATCTCCTTCTCTGACTACACCCAACTTGTCCATCTGCAATTGCAGCTTTCATGTGGTGTTTGGAGACATTAGGACCGGGAGCTGCAGTGTTGCAAAAAGGGAAAATTAGGTTGCTACATATTTATGCACACCTGTGTGTAGATCTGGATCCTGCAGGCAGTTGCAGCGCGGAGCAGGCTCTGACTTCAGGTGGAGGCAGCACACCTGCCTCGGTCGTGAATAGCATTCCCAGTACACTTCTGTGGAGCTCTGTTGTGACTCTGTGTGCAGGACTTAGCATGGAAGAAGCTGTGGAATGCTACTTGTTGAACCCTAGAGGCATATTTCTCAAATTGTAGCTGTTTCTCAGACTGAAGCTGTTGTTTAAGGCCCTCTTATTCAACTTTCTAATGCCTTAATCCTCCTGCCTGCTGTAGAAGCATGCTAAGGCAGGATTTTGGAGTTCAGAAACCCCAAACTATGCTTGAGTTATTTGAAAGCTGAAACATTTGCTTTGTAGAAAGCAAGTAGTTAGATGAAAAATGGAAGAAAATGGGGAAAAAAAAATCTTTTGGAGTTGCTTGTAGTATGAAAGCATACATAGCAAGAATGCAGAGTGGTGTGAGGTCCAAGTCTTGCTCTCTTGGTCTGAGAAAATTGTTGGTCTGAGTTTTTCCTCTGAAAAGGGAACTCGCCTGAATGAGTTGGAAAGAGTGGGAAACTGTTGATGGAAAGGATCTGAAAGGGTAGTTTTCAAGCTGTAGTTACCTGGTTGCTTGAGACCTGTGAACTGGTTCTTGGAGTGTGTATAACCCCTACTCCACACTAACTGGGGGCCTCTGGAAAGAGCATCTATTTTCTCTTTGCGCCTACCTGATTGTGCCATCTCTATGAGATAGATGGTAGAAGCTGCAACTAAACAAATATCAGTTTGGGTGAAAACCAGCAGTTTCCTCTTGTTGGGATACTTTTCATCTGGTCTGCTTCTAAAAACTCAATGTTAAAACACTTGCTTGATTCTTTTTACTTATTTTTGTTTTTTGTGTGTGTGTATGTGAGTCTTGGAAAGCAGCTAGTCTTGGAAACGTGATTGAATGCGCTTACTGATGTTTGGGAGGCTCTGTGATGTTCTATTTCATACATGAGTTTTGCAATCCACTTAAACCAAATGGAGAAGTAAAGCTTTTATACGTGGTTCTGTCTTGGTCCTTTCCTTTTTTTCATGCATACTTTTCACAAGTCTGGATGATATAAATTCCTTCCTGAGAAGGGGGCTATAAAGGAAATAAAACAGGCATGCAAGAAATTTTTTTGTGCAGTAATCTGGAATTATTCATGAACTCTCCCAGACTTCAGAATTACTGATATGTAAAAGCTTTGTTTGGGAACGCTGCAAGGACACCATGACTTTGGCACAGTAGAGAGTGAGTATGTGGTATGTAGAGGTGTCAACATATGTTTCCATATCTGTTGGAATATCTTGGAGCTGTAGCTTCATGACAAAGAGCATGCATTCTGTCGTGGGCCATCACTTAAGTCCATCAAACTGCTCCCTTTTTTTTATCAAGTTTTGAATAGAAATGAGACACCAAATTCATCCTTTCTTGATCATAAAATTACTTTCATATGGCTGCACTACCTCTCATTTTGAATAACTTTTCTGTCTATACTGACATTCAGTGACTTCAGAGGATTTACTGTACTGATAGGGTTCTTGTTTAACTTCTGTTCATGAAAGCATGAAATTAGCTAGAAAAAGGAGTCTGCATAAAAGACCACTCTAGACTCTACATTGACTTTCTAAGTGAAAATAAGCTCTTACCTTGTAATACACATCTGCTTCTTCACTGATTTTTTTTTTTAACTTTTTTTTTTAATGTGTGTCAAATGAGACTGTGCAAAAGGGAGTCTGGTAAAAGATGTCCAGATGTGACCCAGGTTTGCACTCCTCCAGTCTGAACATGACTCTCTTGGTACTCGTTCCCAGTAAGTTTCAAGTATTGGATTCATGTGACATTCAACATTCTCAGCCTGCAAGTATTTTTTTGGGGCTTTTCTCTTCTGTCCATAGCTGCTGAGCGATGGATTGGGAGAGTCTTTGATGTAATATGGACTGATGGACCTCCTGTGTGTGTCCTTTTCTGTTCCCACCTGAAAAATCTCAAGGACAGGCAGATGAGGTATCCAACTTGCAGCTCCAGCCTGCACCAGAGCTGAGGTGGTGCTGAGGATAGTGCCAAGCCATGTGTTAGATTCACATGGAGGTATTTTGCCTTGAGTAAGGGACGGCTCCGTACCCCAAGGCAGGTGGGATGCCACTTTTATGTGGCCAGTAGGTAGCTCCAGAGCAACAGGGGCTGTGGTGCTCACAGCTTCTGCTCGGCTCTGTTGGCCCCAAAGAGTTATTGGGTAGAATTTCCAAATGATGTTAGTTAACATACTGGGAAAGCAAGGTTTTACTGTTATCATAGTCTGCATACACACGGGGTACCATGCGTTGATGTCAACGGCTTGATGGGAGCAAGGAGCTCTAGGAGCCCTGGGCTGGTGTGCACTGTGCAGCAAGTTCAGCGGCCAGCTGTGACCCTCCCTGCGCACTTATTCACCCCCAGAGTTTGAGAAGAGGGGAGAAAATGGGAGAAGCTCCCATTTTTAAATGAGATACAGTCCCCCCAGCCCCACATATGAGAAACATGGAAAAATTCCGTGAACAGATATTCTTAAGAGAATAAGATCTAGAACAAGCCATGGTCCCTGTGATAAGAAAATTTGAAACACTTTTAATCTTAGGCTATAGCTAGCTATGACCACTTTGTTCTTGTTATGTAAATTGTTGTGAGGATTTGTAAAATACAGATTGTCCTTGCAATATTCTGGCCCCTCAAAAGCAGGATGTATTAGCATTAGAATTCTTGTGACTTTTCCCTGTGCATGTTCCCCCTTCGCAAGTAGAGTTTTTGAATGCTATATCCCACCTTCTCTTAAGTGGAGGGGAGGCAGGAGGAAAGAAGGGGGTAGTTTCTAGTCAGGAACCTCTGTGCTGCTGCTGCTGAGCGTTTATCTGTCCGATCGCAATAAGGGATGTTACTGTAATTGGGATTGGGGGAAAAAAGAGACAGGGATGTGGGAAAAGCACAAATTGGTTCCTGGAATTAATGACTACTCTTTCTTCACTACTGTATTTATGGACTAACAGAAAAAAAGCCATAATGTTCCCATGGCAGCTTCATGTCTAAAATTGACGTCGTCATTTACTCAGTGCTTTTGTCAGTGTTATTTTGCTCTGAGAGGTGTTTAATGGTATGCAGACAAGGCACTTTGCTTCTAACAAAATCCAAATAATTGGTAGCCCAGAGAGAGAGAGGGACCTGTGAGAATCTAATATGACACTTCCTCTAGATTGCTTATAGTACTTAACTAGTAAATGTTTTTCTGATGTGTGTTTCTCCCTGCTCCTTACTCAGATAACTGATAACTAGCACAGGTTAACCAATGCGTTCTGCATGTGTCTGTGGGTGGAAGGCATTTCAACTCAGACTTCAGTGTGTGTGTGTGTGTGTGTGTGTTTATAGTCATCTACTATCAGAGATTCTGCTTCTTTCTACATCAGAAGTTGGATTTAATACATTCCCAATGGAAACATCCCAGCACATGCGTTTGTGCGAGACACTTGTTACTGCACAACCCACCCACTTGGGCAAGGTCTCCCCTTCTCCCCAAAACAGAGTAGCTCCCTACGTGTAGGGAGGGTTTGTAGGCTATATACCTTGTCCTCTTCTCTTTTTAAACAAACTCTCACAAGAAAAGAAAATAAGTATTTATATCGCTGGAAGATTTTTTTTTTTTTCTTCTGAAGTTTCTTTCTGACAAGCTCTTTTTTTTTTTTTTTTTGATAATTTAGAAGTTTGAGATGAGCTACTATCAGCCCAAATGAAATCAGCCGTGGAAAAGAAAGATGTAAAGACGTAAAGACTGAAAATGGAGAGTTACTCGTTTTGTCATTAGTAGCAGTCGGTTAGTTGTATTTGTATGTACTTCATGGCACTGGGTTTTGTAGACTGATCAGGTGGGAGAATGATCTAATGCTATATAGAGAATAGTGCCTAAATCTTCTTTTTTATGGTCATGCACAGGAAATGTGCACCTTCCTTACATTCCTGAGTAACTTGGATGTTTTCTTTTGATGTGAGGAAAGTAACCTTTTGTGAAGCTTGCAGTAGAACTCTGGATAGACAGGATTTACCTTTTAGGGGTAAAGTCTTGCTGCATGTATTCTTGACCTGACAAGCAAAATGGTTGGAAACCTGCGTGGTTGGGGACTAGAGAGCGGTGCTTGTGCTCTGGAAAATCTGGAGATTTTCAAGCAACAAAATTATTTGAGTAAAGAGATGCGTTCTCCCTCTCTTAGCCCCCTGCCCCTTGATAGCCAGGAGCATGATGGGCATGAGCAGTTCTGCTGGAACAATAATGGGAATGCAGGTGTCTTGAAAGACTACGGAGTCAAAAGGCTGCAGGGCTTGTTTGTTTGTTTAAATAGCATTCACTCCGCAGAGAAAGTTTTGTGTGACTTGTTTTAAACTGGATTATATATCCCCATTTGCCAACTACTGTAACAGTCGCAGGTTCTCCGCGTGTTCTCGCTTTGCTGCTGCACTTCAGGTGTCTGCAAAAGTTATTGCAGTTAGAATAGTGCTTGTTTGTGCTACAGCTATGCTTTTTTCTTCCTGAAAAGATAATAATTTTCTATACAGACTGAAATAAATAGTCCCAGTAACTACAGCAAAAAGGGTAATAGAATGGCTGTAAAATATGGTAACTGGCAAATCCTGTAGTTTAGGTTAATCCATTACCTTGTTCTTCACAGAATGCTGAGTATGAAATACAATGTGCTCAACTCCAATGCAGGTGAAGTTATACCAAAGCAGAGTTGCCGTAGTGACTTTTACTTATTTATTTGTTTTAGATGAAAACTGGGATGATGATCAGCTTCTCGGATTTGAACCGTGCAATGAAAACCTTATAACAGGTTGTAACATAATTAACGGGAAATGCGAATGTGACACCATTCGGACCTGTAATAATCCATTTGAATTTCCAAGCCGAGATACTTGCCTGTCAGCCTTAAAAAGGATTGAAGGTAAGCACTTGTCTTCAGTCATTTTCAGCTTGTATCTTCTCTGTGCACTTAATCGGAGTGTAGGATTAAGTCAAAGTTTCAGAGTCATTTAGGTAGTTTCCGATACTTGTAACCTTGTAATTTTCGGAGCATGGATGTATGGTTCTGGAAGGCATGCTTTCAGTAAGTTTTATCTTCAAAACTTTTAGTTTTGAGAGTGGAATAAACTGATACTTGATCCTTAAGCATGTCTTGATATTTGCTGATTAAGACAGAAACCATTCTGAGGGTGAACAGTCTGTCATAGATACTTTCGCATCTTCAGTTGTAAAGCAATGTGAAAAATCATCTTTATCAGCTGTTGCAATTAACTGAGCCATGGATAAATGCAGGGAATTTAAATAATGAAGGGATAGAAAAGGAGTAGGAAAAGCTATCAAAAAAAAAAAAATTGATATATTTGTATATTTACTCAGGTTAATGCATGGATTGGTATTTTCTTTGTATTTGCATGATACAGGGTTACGTTAATGCTAGTATTTTTCAGTTTTCCTGTTCCTTGTCTTAGCTTATATTAGGCCATGTATATTTATGCCCCTGCACACATACGCAATGTCTGACTGTTTATATTGCTCATGGCTGAACTTGAAATGAGTTGGTGCAGGAGTGTCCAGTTACTCGGAAATTGTCGTGGTGTATTTTGAGAACTGTTTTGAGCAACCATCCAAGGTTTGATCTCAGGTCTTTGTGATGCTGTGATGAATACTTCCAGAAATGTCCAGGAACATGGAGGGGGCGAGGGGGAAGGAAGGCGGGATGAACCTGCTTAATTAATCTGCTTTAAGCCGCTATTTAAAATTACATGCAAAACCAAATATGCTTAAGGATTCTGACCATATTTAAAGTTACCATTTTATCCACTGAGATAAATGGCTTTGATCTGTTGCCATCTGCCGCGGTCTCCATGTGACAATAAAAGATTTTTTTCAAGCTGCAGAATTTAAACTAGGACATCTTGTAAGAATAATGTAGCTGGCACAAGCGTGTTCGTTTTCCTCTGCCATAATGCCTATTGCTAAAGGGATGCAGATGCCCTGCTTTTTCTGGTGTAGGCACCAGAGAGGTGTGTCTAACGCCTGCCTTTGGTTTGACTGTAGCTGTGGGTATATGGGTATGGTAGGGTACCCATATACCCTGTTCTTAAGTAAGCTGGATCCTTTTAATAAGAAAGCTAATCCTTTTTTATTCTTTATGAATGTGTGATTAGGACTTTAGTAGCTCAGCAGAATGTCTAATGGCATTACAGCTTGTCATATTTTTTTTTTAATCTCTTTGCTAAGAGAATCTGTTGTGGACTGCCTCCCCGCCGCCCCAAGGAAGATATGAGTTGAGTTGGTGGGGCATAAATAAGGCATGTTGATTCCTTGAATAGCTTGCTGTTGGCGAAACTCTTGTTTTGCCCAAATTTCCATTTTGAAACATAGAATTCTAAGCTTAGCCATGAGGTAACAATATCTTACATGTAAATTAAGGTTTACTGTCTTTATGTTGACGTTTCTTATCTCATAAAACAGAAGTAATCATAATGGAGAGCAATAGAACATGATTTAACTGAGGAAAGTACAGTTGTATTTTAGTTTATTGTTTGTTTTGTTTGTAGTCTTATTTTTCTTCTCTTGAAAGCCTAAAACTATAGCACATCATTAGAAGAGTTTAGGACCTGTTGATTCTGACCGTTCACAAATGGTGGTTGGCTGTTGGTGCTTGAAAACAGGAAGATTTGGCATGTATGCTGAGGCACCAATAATACCAAAAGTCTGGCAGTTTAAGTAACTTTGGTACTGAAAGAATCTAACCCCTCTCCCCCTTTCTTTTCCCCCTTGAGAATGAATTTGCATCCTTAAACCATTGTGAATACAAACACCATCACTAAGAATTCTTTGAAAGAAAATCCATCTATATTTCCAGATATGGACAGAAGCATTATTTGACTAATACCAATAGCAGGACATTAAAACAAATTCCTGTGAATGTATTTATGTTGAAATAACGTTAAAACGCCCGTCTTGACAGATGTAAATGTTAACACTCCAGCTAACCTTCTCGTAATGATTGGAATTCAAAATAAAGCTACCATTTTAATTTTCTGTTTTTCTTGTTTAAATCCTTTTTTGCATTAATAAACTACTGGAATCTTTGTCTAAGCTTAGCTCTTTACTATGTCAAAATACTGCTTCAAACATGGTAACTTGCTTTTTCAGCTAGTGTTTTAATTTTTTTGCACTTAAACTTCACATAGCTGGAGGGGAAAGAGGAATTTTACTCTTTTTTCTTTCATTGTATTTATATATATTTTATATAATCTCCTCTCCTCCCAACATAACCCTTTTTTTGTCTGAAATTAACAGCCCTAGACAGTCAAATCTGCCTACTGTGTTTTGAACTGCAAACGCTTATCCTTTCTTTCTCCAAATATGTGCAACAAGGAGAGATTAACTGGGGATCACGCGAGCAAGTTTCTTGTGCTAGGATTAGGGACTGAATGGTAACTGCTTATGGAGGTTGTTTCTTTAAATGCATTACTGAATCTTTCATGTTCAAGTGACAAAATATGCCTCATCCTATACTTAAACTAATATATAGTAATGCAAAAGTGTTTATAATTTTTCTTGTACATACTGTGCTTTTTTTGCAGTAAGCAAACTAAATCCCCTGGTTAAAATGGGCTAGCCCGCTGCATTTATTTGAGTATTACAGGCTACCTGTGTCTACAGATACTCTAGAGGTTGTTTTTGGCCACTTGGCAAGTCCAACTGAAATGTGGCTTAGGTAGAAGGAAAGGAAACCAGAGAGCACATTTTTATTATTTATTTATTTGTATGTTATGAAGAGGTGATTTGTAAGATCTGTCAAAGATGTCAAATTCAAATTTTCTTGAAATCTGAGCTACTGATTCATATTTCACTTTTTGGCATGCCTCCTAAAGATGACAGCATAAGAGTTTTTAAAGCTGTCATTTAGATGTTAAAATAACGCAATTAATAGAATCTACTGCCCCAAAAAGCAAGAGTTTTTGTATCCGAGTATTTGAAATCTAGCTCCCTTCCCTTCCATGCACTTTAATAGGGATATTTCAGTACACAGAGAACTAGAAGGGCCCAAGCGGAGCACTCGGGATGTGTCAGGATTGCATCTCGTGAGGAAAGCACCCGGAAGGGTACAAGCGGTTACTTCCATGTGGCTTTGGCTGCCTCTGGTGCTCAGGAAACCTGGTAAACAATACTGAGAACAGCCTGTCTTGTTCAGCAAGATGTGTCTGGGTGCTGCTCAGCGGGCAGAAACACCGTTACCTGTTCAGTTCGGTGGTGCTCGTTCTGATGTGTGTGGAGAGGTTGCATGTTCCTGAGCCTCCATAAACATTTGAGGCAAGGGTGGCTGATTGAGCGTCCCCTGATGAAGGGGGAAAAATCAGAAAGGCAGCTCTTTCCTATCATTTTGTGCACACACGTGCACCAGGGTGCACACACGTGTACATACCCTTGAGCTTTTGGCCTGAGCGTAGTCTTTGCTTCTGGCTCTGCTGTCAGGTTGAGCTTGCTTTCTCAGCTACCCCAAAGCTTCCTTGAATGCCTCACATAGGATCTTTCTCTCTATTGTATGTGTCTGCCTTCCTGGGCTCCTCATGTCTTTCACTTCCTTTGCTTGCTCTTGGCTTAACCTAGGTCCTGTTCTTTTTGCATCCCAGTTAGATTGAAGTTCTTGCTTGTCCCATATGGTTTTTGTGTCGTTCCTTCTCAAAACTGAAATGCAGGGGTCTCAACCTTATGTTGCTTAAATATCTCTGAGAGGACCAGAAGGGTACTCTGTTTCTGCTCAAGTCTTGCTCGGTCTCAAACCGGAGTTTAGTCTGCTCAAATGGAAGTAAGGACTACTGATATTCATTTGCAAGAAAGCACCGAGAAGGTAACATAGGTTCTTCACACTGCTGATGTTGGAAAGAGTTACTTCTCTCAGTCTCCTTTCCCAGCCCTATTTTTTTGTTTTGTTTTAAGAAATAGTAGGATTTGAATACCGCTGGAAGGATTGGTTCTGTCATACAACTTTATAGCTATTGTCCAATTACTCTGAATGTTGACATACTGCAGATGTTCAAAGCGCAAAGCATATTTATGCCACAGGGTCTCCACACCTCCTTACGAGGTTTTAAGGGCCTGCTTCTCAGCACAGAGCATCAGTGACTTCTCATAAAGGTGGTTTGTGAGAGAGGTCATGAACCTTCTTATGAGGAAGTGCATTCATATTTGGGGCTAGAGAGAAACTGGCTGGAAAAGCTATCATGTAGCTAAATAATAGTATGTTATTATTATTTTTTAATGCTTTTGCTGCTGGTTATTGTCCTGATGAGTTCCTGCTCTGATACGGTTCAGGAAATCCTGTGTTCATGAGCTTAGAATGTGCAATTGTCTGTGAGGCAGCTCGTGAGGACAGCTTGGTTGAGGCTGGGAAAGCTGGTGGACTCGGTCCTCCAGAGGGGACCACCAAAAATGTGGATAGGGGCTGAGAAGCGGTGAGATACCATCTGTCTGCCAAGTCCCAGTAACAGACAGAGCCGTAACAAGCTGCTAAGAATTAACTTTACATAGCAGAGCAGAGTGGAAACTTTCAGATTTTGTGACCAAGAGACCAAAGATTAACAAAATGTGGAAGAGGAAGTCATTCTATTGCCTCAGCACAGTTTTGTAGAGCTGTGATAGGTGGTAGCATTAAAAACTCTGCTGATGTGTCATGCTGGCCCAATTACCGTGAAAGCTTGTCCAGCACATGCACTGCCTTCCTAGTGGCTCTTTATCTGAAATGACCCCGTCTTAGTATTTTCAAAGACTCCGGTCCAGTTCTGGGATCCTTTTCTTTCTCTCTTTCTATGCTAGGCAGTGGTAGCAACTTCAATAGCCCCGAAGAGCTATTAAAGAGCAGGAGCTAAAGGATGTCATTGAGCTTGTTGCTTTCCCATCATGAGCGTT